CCAAGACTCCCGTCTCTCATCACGCTGCCTCTGTTATTACACTGCCTTATGTCCTTTAGTCCACTACATTTGTTAGGCTTTATCTTTCTGGTAGTGGTACATGGTCTCAAGGCTTTGATGTACTCCAGCTTCTGAACACAGTCATTATCCTCCATATAATGGAGGAGATGGAAGTTCTCTTTTACATGGTGTTTATGTCCCATCTATTCGCGTTTCAGGTTTGAAGATTATGTCGACCAGCGATACAAAGAACACTTGAAAAACCAAGGCAAAGCAGATTCGGTACGTAGCTACAATTTAACATTACTGCATATCACAGAGTACAAGAATAATCCCGTTTTCACACAACAGTATAATCATTTACAATGTTGTGTACAATTATATAGAATTGAGTGATTTAATTGGAGATGCAGGCAGCGGGGCTATCGCTGTAACCTTGCCGTGGTGTACAGCCAGACGTCTTCTGGTGTGCTACACGTGCCCACCTCTAATTCCTTAAGTCTGCTCCTCTGCTGTTGGGACAGGATAATTGAGATGGTGACCTAGATTCCAAGAAAGAATCCCTCGGAAATAAGAGCTGAATAACAAAATGGATGCAGATTCCCAGGCCTTGTTCCCTTTGTTATGTCACATCAGTGTGGCTCCGACTTCTCTCGAATAATGATGAAGTCTGGTGGAAAGTGAACAGCATATTTCCAAGGACGTGTCGTCTCGTGTATATTGTCTGCATGATGCACCAAAGGCCTTATAATGTGGGTGTTTGAAACCATCCGGGCGAGTTTCCAGAGCACATTTTAAAGTTTTTGGTAGATGGCTGTTACAAAGCTTCCGTTTACTTTGTAGAACTACTGGAAGCGGGCTTTTGGCAGTAGTTTTTCTGTTTTAAACCATAAACTAGTGAGTTATGTTCTTCTGATCCTAGCTGGTAGGAGTTGATGTCATGGCAGCCTTGGACATGTATGCAGAGAGAGGACAATGGGAGAAGTGTATAGAGATCGCCTCTAAACAGGTGACTCTGACTCTACCACGCCCCTACCCACCTCTAACATTCCTCTACCGCCATCACTCTACCGCCATCACTCTACCGCCATCACTCTACCGCCATCACTTTACCGCCATCACTCTACCGCCATCACTCTACCGCCATCACTCTACCGCCATCACTCTACCCCAATCACTCTACCGCTGTCACTCTACCGCCGCCACTCTACCCCCATCACTCTACCGCCGCCACTCTACCCCCATCACTCTACCGCCATCACTCTACCGCCATCACTCTACCGCCATCACTCTACCGCCATCACTCTACCCCCATCACTCTACCCCCATCACTCTACCCCCATCACTCTACCCCCATCACTCTACCCCCATCACTCTACCGCCATCACTCTACCGCCATCACTCTACCGCCATCACTCTACCGCCATCACTCTACCGCCATCACTCTACCGCCATCACTCTACCCCATCACTCTACCCCCATCACTCTACCCCCATCACTCTACCCCCATCACTCTACCGCCATCACTCTACCGCCATCACGCTACCGCCATCACTCTACCGCCATCACTCTACCGCCATCACTCTACCGCCATCACTCTACCGCCATCACTCTACCGCCATCACTCTAATGCCATCACTCTAATGCCATCACTCTACCGCCATCACCACTCTACAACAAATCTGCTTCCGTTTTCTCCATTTTGTATTTAACCCACTGTGTATTTTTTTGTATATATATTTCTAGAATTACAAGATCCTCCACAAGTATGTGGCATTGTATGCCACCCACCTAATCAAGGAGGGGAACGCAGAGAAGGCCCTGAACCTGTATTCTCAGCACGGAGCCCCGGCCAACCCCCAGAACTTTAACATCTACAAGCGTATGTTTCTGGACCTGCTGAGTCTGCTGGGTCGGGACAGCGCCGAGTTCTACCGCATGTGGGCTGACCTGAGAGAGGTCATGTTACTGTTGGTGAGTGCAGGACCAGATTTACATTGCCGTCTCCGGGCACCACACACTGAGACCCTGATGTATGTTCTCTGTGCCTAGCTGCTCTCTAATGCCTTAAGGTTTGCTTTTGACATGTTGACGTGTTTATAGTGTGAGAACATGACCAAGTCTTCCGAGGCCAACTCACCTGTCCACGAAGAGTTTGAGCAGATGCTGCTGGTTTCTCACTACTATGCCACGCGATCGGCTGCCAAGGAAGTTGACCAACTGGTATATATAGCCTGGCTGTTCTTTCATTTTACCCCACCTGTTATAGCCTGGTATTGGCAGTGGTTGACAGTCACATGCTCCATCTCTCCCCTCTCCACCTCCTTTCTCCCTGAAGGCCAGTGTGGCTGCCAAGCTGTCCATCTCCCTGCTGCGCCACACAGAGCTCATTCCAGCTGACAAGGCCTTCTATGAGGCAGGCATGGCCGCAAGAGTAAGAGACCGGCTCGTATGAGCCTCATCCAATCACGCTTGGCAGAGACCGGCTGAGAGGGTCGGCTAGGGCCCCCTGGGAAATATTCTGAGAAATGTTTTTAAGGGTTTTTGCGCCGTATATATTGCTGCATATTGTAACTGGGAAAATACATAGAAATGTCACAAGCATCGATAATATCTGTCTCACAACTGAATTTCTAACTCTTTAAAACGTTTGTAAACTTTCATTTTCATTTTTTTATGACCGTTTGATAATGAATGTGATTCTTTTCACAGAGTGTTGGCTGGGAGAACATGGCCTTTATTTTTCTCAACCACTTCCTGGATCTGTCCGATGTGAGTGTCGCCTAAGCATTACTTGGGGTGCAACTTTAAACCACGGCTTTATCTTATGTTTCTTCAGGACAAGTATGATCTGTAGATACAGGGATCAATGACTGGTTCGTATTGAATGTCCATTTCTATTCCACTCGTTCAAAAAGTGATGTTTAATCCTGTTGTTGTTCGTGTGTTGCACTGTTTCCAGGGGATAGATGAAGGGACCCTGGATACTCTAGACCACTCAGACTTCCTGGACACTGATATCCCCTTCGAAGTTCCTGTCCCTACTAAAATACATGTCACTGTAAGACCCAAGTATTTGGTTTCTCTATTATTGTATTGTTTCCTGTGTAATTCTGATGTGTTATTACATCAGGCCTTACGTGCAGTTATGATATGACTTGTCTGTGACAGTGTTTGATAGCTTGAATATGATTGTGCTCTGTTATTACTGGCTTTGCAATTTAACAATTACTACTGTACATTGTTTCTTTCTTATGACTGTGTTGTGTATTTATATTTGTTAGCCTGTGCTGGTCTTATGTTATGACACTTGGCTGTGCTGGTCTTATGTTATGACACTAGGCTGTGATGGTCTTATGTTATGACACTAGGCTGTGATGGTTTTATATTATGACACTAGGCTGTGATGGTTTTATATTATGACACTAGGCTGTGATGGTTTTATATTATGACACTAGGCTGTGATGGTTTTATATTATGACACTAGGCTGTGATGGTTTTATATTATGACACTAGGCTGTGATGGTCTTATGTTATGACACTAGGCTGTGATGGTCTTATGTTATGACACTAGGCTGTGATGGTCTTATGTTATGACACTAGCCTGTGATGGTTTTATATTATGACACTAGGCTGTGATGGTTTTCTATTATGACACTAGGCTGTGATGGTTTTCTATTATGACACTAGGCTGTGATGGTCTTATGTTATGACACTAGTCTGTGATGGTCTTATGTTATGACACTAGGCTGTGATGGTCTTATGTTATGACACTAGGCTGTGATGGTCTTATGTTCTGACACTAGGCTGTGATGGTCTTATGTTATGACACTAGCCTGTGATGGTTTTATATTATGACACTAGGCTGTGATGGTTTTCTATTATGACACTAGGCTGTGATGGTCCTATGTTACTTAACTGTTATGTTATTACCACTGTTTGGCTCAGGATGCCCAGAGAGAGGAGATCCGTGACTGGGTCCTGGCGGTCTCCATGGACCAACGTGTGGAGCAGGTGCTGCCCAAAGATGAGAGGGACACCTATGAAGCTTCTCTACTGGCTGCCAACACAGGCATTCGCTCCTTGCCCTGTGTCATCACTGGTGTGTGGGAGAACCCTTCCAGAGCAACTTACAGCCGAGTCTGGTAGCCTAGTCCTGCTTGCTCAGAAGAGGCCTGTATCTATTCTAACTGATAAGTTAATCATTTTGCAGACACTGTTCCTAGAGTGTCTAACAGGCGCAATTAGTGCCTTGCTCTAGGGCAAACCATCTGCTTAGTTTTTAATTTATTACATGTCAGTTTTGTGATACCTGCCAGCAACCTTTTGTTTCTTGGTCCAACACTTTTGACGAGACTGTCTAATTTTTCACAGCATCCAGAGCATTGTGTTTTGGGTTGCAGTTACCAAACCCACACATGATGGCAGTTGTGTTAATTGAATGGCAATATACTTCTATTATAATAAAGGATTTTTCTCTATGTGCAAACCCAGGCTATCCAGTTCTGCGGAATAAGATTGAGTTCAAAGGGCCTGGCAAGGCAGCTAACAAGGAGGACTGGAATAAATTCCTAATGGCCACAAAAGTAAGGAGTTTTTTTATGATGTTAGCCCTGGAGGCTACATCAATGTGCTGATTTAGCTGCTTGTCCGTCAGCACTCAACCACATGTAACACTGTTTGATTTATAATGAATCCCCACTTCTGATCTCAGGCACTCACACAGGTTTTGATTATAAGTTGAGTCTTAGAGGCCCATTCTATTTCAGTGTGTTTCATCATGATTGCCCGGGTTGTGTGTGACTTGGATTTGTGAGGTTGGATTAATGAAATGATGTCCGTATAACAAATACCTTGTAGCATACCACCTTGTCTCCCACTGGTGGCTTTCTTTTTCAGCTTAAAACTAAAACTACATCCTCCGAACTAATTCCCAGGTAATTTAGCTCACGCCCTGATCCAGAACAACTTATAGCAGTGATTGCCTACTTTTCTGACCTGGTCCCCTGTGGGAATCAAACCCACAAACTCTGACGTTTCAATCGCCATGCTCTACCAACTAAGATGAGCAAGACCACTTTCCTGGTGAAATAAGGATAAAAAAGTCCAGAGAGATTGAGAGAAAACCATTAGATTTATATATATATATATATATATATATAAATGTATATATATTTATATTTGCTTCCACATTTGTACACCCTGTGGCCCCCTGTTTGTGATCTGATGTGTTATTGGCTGGTCTCCGTGTGTGTGTGTGTGTGTGTGTCTCTTCCCCTCAGACCACTCATAGCCCAGAGTGCCAGGATGTGCTGAAGTTTGTGAGTCAGTGGTGTGGAGGGCTCCCTGCCTCCGGCTACTCCTTCCACTGAGAGCACCAGGCGGCCGAAAACCCCATCTCTGTCCAGTGTAGAACACATTACTGTAACTTACCCTGCTGTGCTCTGCTCGGAGCCAACGCCTTCTTCTCTGAATTATTGAATCAGCCCTGTGCCCTTGGAGTGCTGCCCTCATCCTCCATCTTTGGTTGTAGCATTGACCGGTTCACATCACTCAATAACCGTACTGTTACTGACCCGCACGTTTCTACTGTGCTGACATCAGCAGTCGTTAGTGTCAGTGTCCTATCACCATGTCAGAATATTCGCTTCGCTGTGTGTTCTTACATTTACATTTCGGTTCAATCTGGTGTTTTTTTCTGTGTTCCTGGCTCTGTAGAAGGAACTGAGTAGGCGACAACCAAAGAGCGTATTTTTGTTGTTGTTGAGGGACTTCAACGATGCCTTTACACAGCTGTTGAGGTGTCTGCATATTTTGTGCTGTTATCTATAACAACCGTTTTGGTTTTCTAAGAGCAATGTTTCCAAATGAAAGGGGAATTTAACATAATGCACCTTAGGTACAGGATATGCTTCATGTTTTGTTTGTTTATATGCTGTTCTGATGTATTTTGTATATAATAAAAATATTTTAACCTTTTTTATAATGGCAATATTTATTACTAGGCATTTCATGTATTGTAGTACAGCACTAAGTAAGTGCACCATTTAACCCCTGGTGTATTTATCATTTGTTCAACTAACATGACATTTTGACAAAATAGACCAAAAGGTAAACCAGACTGCCACAGGCTTTTATTATCTACTATAAGCTAGTTATTACCTGTCATTAAATCGGGTAGTAGCAAGTCTGTTAAATGTCATTAATCATGATTAATCATCGATTTAGCCCTCAGAGAAGGGGGTGTGTCTCCCAGAGGAAGAATAACCCCTACTGGATCAGTTGCAGCCACCAAAAATGCTGTTCAGGGTCATCATGAGAAAGGCCAAAATACAGGGACCTCACTATAACCTATTTGTACGAATTGCACATTACTTCAAATCTGATATTAAAACGAACCTTAACCATTTTTATAACATATCGCATAAACCTAAAATCAAATAGCCTAAACAAAATCCACCATTTGTTCTTGAAATGTCCAGAATTTTCCAGAGAATAAAAACGTATGATAAAATTCATCAAATAATTAAAAAACATAACCGATAATATTTTTACATATTTTTTAATAGATTTTGCGATGGATTGTCGAAATGTTAAATTCCGCAAAGCCGGAGTGAGTCTGGATGGCATGTTGGTTGTTTTAGCCATCCATACAAATTGTGCATAAAACCTTAAGTAAACCATAACGGCGTAATCCCAAATAATACGAATTATTATATACAAAAAGAGCATCCTAACTGCACCTTACGTTTTTTCTTTTCTAAATGCAAGACCCTTTTGCACAGAAAATAGGCCTATAGGCTATCGTAGGCTATACGTCTGGAGCTTACCGACTCCAATGCACGGTAACATGTGCCATGCGTCTTGCTCAGTGTTTGTCTCTTCGGTTATTGGCAACTTTCAAATATAGAAATAACTGAAATTTGATCAATATAGTAATTTATCTGACGCCCTAATCGAGGGACTGCATTTTCATACTTTTCTTGTGTGGGAATCGCACCAGCGACCGTGGCATCTTCTTACCAATTAAACTACATGGTACCCAAATATTGAAAATACTTTTGGTCTTTTGCAATGAAAAAATACAGGCCTCTGATTGTGTCAGTCACGTAGCCATTATGCGTAAAATTTGGTTAACAAAATTGACATAGAAAACCATTATTTGAGTGTTGATTTTGTGCTTTACTGAACATTGACTTTGGGAAATAACGAGGACATATTTTTTACTAAAGAACAGTGGATCTGATGAAAACCCCATTCTGCAGCAGGAGTATATGTGAACCGCAGTTTATACCCGCTGACACATCCAATAAACCACGCATCATGTAAAAAAAAATCAAGACCTCTTTAAAAATGACAGAAACCGCTTAGCCTACTAGTAGGCCTACCTTTTCCTGCGATTCGAATGAAAACTCTGAAATCACATGTTACAAACAATCACACAAAAAACTATGTATGCGAACTAACTGAAAATTAAATGTTACTATGTTGAGGTATTCTGACCACATTACCTTAATTTGTGTATGATGTATAGATCACTTTTTATTTTGGAAAGTATATAGTTAAATACATCTTTATAATCCGCATGAAGAACATTTTAAAATAAAGCGCATTATTTTGTAATAGATTAAATACAATAAGCACAACTGATAACCGTAAATTCATTTTATAATTTTAACTTATAAAATGAAAGTATTTAGGCCTAAAAAGTTTAGTTTTCATCGTTAATAATCGGCTGACTCGCACAACATATTACATTATGTTGATTTATGTGCAGCTGCACCTTTTGTACATTTTGATGTTGCTATGATTCCCGATAATTTTATTGAAACAAAGCCTTAACAACAATACAAATAATATTTTTTTTTGCATTTTTTTCTGAAATATTGAACATTTGTTTCATAATGCATGTTTTTGTTATGCAATGCAGTTCTTACAAACCATATTAATTTCATTTTTATGGATGGGATGAATAAAGATGCGTGTGGGTTTAAAAAAAAGAAATTCTTGACATTATTTAATGCATTCTGAGATTTTATTTGCGAACAAACTGATTACTACAAAAACAACATTAATAATAATACGTGCATGCAAAACATAATCCACATAATCCACAAGCATTTCTTAAATCCCTGCTGATATGAGACCATTTAATCACTGGATGCGTTTTGTGTGGCTGTAAAATCAAAATCGTTCACACAACTTAATTCCTATTTGACCTAAAACCTGTAATGGCCTAGAAAATATTGCAATTTCACATGTACTGCTACAGGCCGCACAATTATTTCCCCTAGACGAGCTATATGTCACGGATGTCCTGATTTGACTGGAATATGTGTCTTTACTCATTCCCTGACTAACGGATACATTGCGAGCAGTGGGGTGCGCTTTCATGTGCCTTGCATGTATACTTATTTTTATTACACATCACTCAATTCTGTATGCAAAGTATGAGTGTTATACAAGAATTAATGTAACCGTTTAAAGGTCGCTTCGAGTTGTATCACAGTATTGATTTCTTCCATGGGTATTGTCCCAGTTTGGATACCACAGAGGTCACTGGGATGAGATTCCACCTTGACCTCACAGCAATTAACTGTGCAGGTTCTATCAAAAATGGAAGGCGCGCTCTGACAAAATGGCTACCGTGGCACCTGACAAAATATCCAAATGAAGACCTTTCACCTTTGGAGGTACATGTTAGTGCGTAACACCTAGGCAAACATGAACCCATGCACTTTCAACGTACATCTAGATGATATATTTACCCCCTCTCTTGGCATTCACCGCGTGCCTTAATTGTATGGACATTTAAATCAAGGTCCGCTGTGAACACGAGGAGAGACAGGGCCTGATCTGTATTTTCCTGCATCACTGTCGAGTACTATCTATCAGTGTCAGCTATACTGTACGATAGCAGCTGACAGACACGATGAAGGGCGCGTGAGGGCAACCTTGAAAGCGATGATCTTGCACCAAAATGTTGCCTACGCAACGACAACGTATAGCCCAGCCTATTTCACTGGCTGGTGAATAAGTGTTGTCCACTATACTGTAGCCTAATGCGCAAGCTATGCACTGTCATTCACTTTACACTATACGCTACACTGCAATACACTATACACTGCAATACACTAAACACTACCATACACTATACACTGCAATGCACTATATACTACAATACTCTATCTACACTGCAATACACTAAACATTACCATACACTACAATACCATACACTAAACACTACCATACACCAAACACTGCAATACACTATACACTGCAATACACTATACACTGCAATAGCATTAGCCTACTGTCATCCGTTACGGGATAACGACGCGGTTTTACTTCAGAAATGATAAGTCTAAAACGCACAGAATAGTCTTACCGTTATGTTAATACATAAAGCCTACCTGCCCTGGCAATGGCAAACTCCCATAATGTCCTTTGGATGTAGATATAGCGCACGATCCCTCCCTGGTGGTGCAACAAACGCCAGGCCCGTGTGACCGCAGCAAGGACAGGGCTTGCTACCGCCGGTCCTTTTGCTCAACTCCCATGACACACAAAAAAAATAGAAGAGAGCCCATCTGGCTTCTCGTCAGCTTTGTCAAGTCTTGCATACGCTAAAATGCTAATGACCCAGATAGCTCATGTAAAATGCAGCAGAGGTAAGAAAGAGGGGGAAAAGGCTGTTAGGCTGAATGAGAGTCCTCCCCGCCTTTTGTGGGGGTCGGGCGGGGTGGGAGAGGTGGAGGCACTAAACGCACCTGCATCATAAGAGGTTAGCTCAATAATAGAGAAATGGAGTGGGAGATAGCAGTTCTGCAAAGCTGTGACACATATGGACAGTGCCAATTGTAAAGAATATATGGACCAATAGGCTTAAAATAATCACATTTTTATTTTGGCCTAGAAATGGCCGCAACCTGCATATGCAATTCAACTCATCTAAATCCATATAGGCTATGCCTAATCTATTGATTTTATACAGCTACGATTTTGACAGATCCAAATGTAGCCTAGATAATATATATACATAGGCCTATAGGCTAACAAAAACGTTTTTACTTAG